GTGCACAGTTACACTGGAACATTATCTAACACAGTGCACAGTTATTCTGGAACATTATCTAACACAGTGCACAGTTACACTGGAACATTATCTAACACAGTGCACAGTTACACTGGAACATTATCTAACACAGTGCACAGTTATTCTGGAACATTATCTAACACAGTGCACAGTTACACTGGAACATTATCTAACACAGTGCACAGTTACACTGGAACATTATCTAACACAGTGCACAGTTACACTGGAACATTATCTAACACAGTGCACAGTTACACTGGAACATTATCTAACACAGTGCACAGTTACACTGGAACATTATCTAACACAGTGCACAGTTATTCTGGAACATTATCTAACACAGTGCACAGTTATTCTGGAACATTATCTAACACAGTGCACAGTTACACTGGAATATTATCTAACACAGTGCACAGTTATTCTGGAACATTATCTAACACAGTGCACAGTTACACTGGAACATTATCTAACACAGTGCACAGTTACACTGGAACATTATCTAACACAGTGCACAGTTACACTGGAACATTATCTAACACAGTGCACAGTTACACTGGAACATTATCTAACACAGTGCACAGTTACACTGGAACATTATCTAACACAGTGCACAGTTACACTGGAACATTATCTAACACAGTGCACAGTTACACTGGAACATTATCTAACACAGTGCACAGTTATAAACCCAAAAAGATTTCAACTAAGATTTAACTGATCAGAAGAAGGACATAATTCTATGTATGGAATTATGAAGGACGTTAATGGCTTCAGTAAGAGTATGTCCTAGACTCATTGGACATAATCTTACTGAAGTGAACACACGGGTCATAAATACTCATACACCGCCTCAGTAAAACAGAAACGAGTAATATATATAGCGGGCAGCCAGAGGCTCAGGGGGGCCCTAAGCCTCTGGCACAGGAATATCCCTGCAAAGAGAAAAGGTACACAAGTATAATGACTTATTTTATTGTCTCTTTACTCCAAGGATCTCTTAGACTTCATGTTTAGAATTTAAGAACTTATTAAAATATAAACCTGCTCCTCCACGTCATCAATTTACTCTTATCACATCTATATAAATAAATTTATAAAAAAATATTATAAAATATATTCTGGAACCCAGCCTTCACTGTTCATAAATCCCCCCCCCCTCCCCACCTCCCTCCGTGTGGGTTCCCGCCAAGGACCCTGAGTTTGTCTCTGTGACGAGGCGCTTATGTACAGTATTTTGTTTCTCACCCTTGTTGTCAGTCCTTGTGAGTGTGTTGGTAAAGGTGACCGAGATTGTTCTACTTGTATTTTGTCTGGGGGGGGGGGGCTTCAGGGAGGACTGGGCACCTTATTATGATAATGAGAACTATTGCAACAAGTTTTTTCCCACTGTGCTGTGAATTACAATATATTATTACGCACTGATGGTGAGTTATTTGGTTAATACTAAAAATGATTTTCAATATTTAATATTACAAGGTCATATTACAATACTACGAGTCCACTACCACCTACGGGATGGGTATGGGAGGTCCACTACCACCTACGGGATGGGTATGGGGTCCACTACCACCCGCGGGATGGGTATGGGGTCCACTACCGCCCACGGGATGGGTATGGGGTCCACTACCACCCGCGGGATGGGTATGGGGGGTCCACTACCACCTACGGGATGGGTATGGGGTCCACTACCACCCGCGGGATGGGTATGGGGGGTCCACTACCACCTACGGGATGGGTATGGGGGGTCCACTACCACCTACGGGATGGGTATGGGGGGTCCACTACCACCCGCGGGATGGGTATGGGGTCCACTACCACCCGCGGGATGGGTATGGGGTCCACTACCACCCGTGGGATGGGTATGGGGTCCACTACCACCCGCGGGATGGGTATGGGGTCCACTACCACCCGTGAGATGGGTATGGGGTCCACTACCACCTACGGGATGGGTATGGGGTCCACTACCACCCGCGGGATGGGTATGGGGTCCACTACCACCCGCGGGATGGGTATGGGGTCCACTACCGCCCACGGGATGGGTATGGGGTCCACTACCGCCCACGGGATGGGTATGGGGTCCATTACCGCTCGCGGGATGGGTATGGGGTCCACTACCACCTACGGGATGGGTATGGGGTCCACTACCACCCGCGGGATGGGTATGGGGTCCACTACCACCCGCGGGATGGGTATGGGGTCCACTACTGTCCACGGGATGGGTATGGGGTCCACTACCACCCGCGGGATGGGTATGGGGTCCACTACCGCCCACGGGATGGGTATGGGGTCCACTACCGCCCACGGGATGGGTATGGGGTCCATTACCGTCCACGGGATGGGTATGGGGTCCACTACCACCCGCGGGATGGGTATGGGGTCCACTACCGCCCACGGGATGGGTATGGGGTCCACTACCGCCCACGGGATGGGTATGGGGTCCACTACCACCCGCGGGATGGGTATGGGGTCCACTACCACCCGCGGGATGGGTATGGGGTCCACTACTGTCCACGGGATGGGTATGGGGTCCATTACCGCCCGCGGGATGGGTATGGGGTCCACTACCACCTACGGGATGGGTATGGGGTCCACTACCACCCGCGGGATGGGTATGGGGTCCACTACTGTCCACGGGATGGGTATGGGGTCCACTACCACCCGCGGGATGGGTATGGGGTCCACTACCGCCCACGGGATGGGTATGGGGTCCACTACCGCCCACGGGATGGGTATGGGGTCCATTATCGTCCACGGGATGGGTATGGGGTCCACTACCGTCCACGGGATGGGTATGGGGTCCACTACCGTCCACGGGATGGGTATGGGGTCCACTACCGTCCACGGGATGGGTATGGGGTCCACTACTGTCCACGGGATGGGTATGGGGTCCACTACCACCCGCGGGATGGGTATGGGGTCCACTACCGTCCACGGGATGGGTATGGGGTCCACTACCGTCCACGGGATGGGTATGGGGTCCACTACCGTCCACGGGATGGGTATGGGGTCCACTACCACCCGCGGGATGGGTATGGGGTCCACTACTGTCCACGGGATGGGTATGGGGTCCACTACCGTCCACGGGATGGGTATGGGGTCCACTACCACCCGCGGGATGGGTATGGGGTCCACTACCACCCGCGGGATGGGTATGGGGTCCACTACCACCCGCGGGATGGGTATGGGGTCCACTACCACCCGCGGGATGGGTATGGGGTCCACTACCACCCGCGGGATGGGTATGGGGTCCACTACTGTCCACGGGATGGGTATGGGGTCCACTACCGTCCACGGGATGGGTATGGGGTCCACTACCACCCGCGGGATGGGTATGGGGTCCACTACCACCCGCGGGATGGGTATGGGGTCCACTACCACCCGCGGGATGGGTATGGGGTCCACTACTGTCCACGGGATGGGTATGGGGTCCACTACCGTCCACGGGATGGGTATGGGGTCCACTACCACCCGCGGGATGGGTATGGGGTCCACTAATGCCCACGGGATGGGTTTGGGTACCACCCAACGCACATAAACCAGACGTCTACATCATATTCTGTCTGTCTGTCTGTTTGTCTGTCTCTCTCTCTCTCTCTCTCTCTCTCTCTCTCTCTCTCTCTCTCTCTCTCTCTCTCTCTCTCTCTCTCTCTCTCTCTCTCTCTCTCTCTCTCTCTCACACACACACACACACACTGGGCGGACTGCATTTTCTTGGATTGTCGGAAAGCCTTTGACACAGTACCGCATAAGAGGCTGGTACATAAGCTGGAGAGACAGGCAGGAGTAGCTGGTAAGGTGCTCCAGTGGATAAGGGAGTACCTAAGCAATAGGAAGCAGAGAGTTACGGTGAGGGGTGAGACCTCCGATTGGCGTGAAGTCAACGACCTGAACGCACCAGTATAAAAAGCTATGATTTGTTCAGATCTGAAACTTACATTTATGGGCAGCACAAAACGTCGACCAGACTGTGCGACACAGTGGTTGCCAGGATCAGGTTGGGTTACCGTTACCTGTGGCAGGTGGCAACAGGTGACGGATCTCCCAATCCTGAGCACTCCAGGTGCAAACACTGTGAGCAGGAACTACGGCACGATCTCCTACACTCCATCACCGAATGCCCAGTTATCAGACCATTCAGACCCGTTGGCATCGAGGTGCCTGGAGCTTTGCAATTACTTTATTCACTCTCGCATTCTTGAAGATATCCTCACATTGTACCCAAAATTTGCCAGTGCAAGCTACTGAACATATGGCCCTGTATGACTAACCATCCTGCGAGATGGGGACTTTTAGTACCACTGCTACCTTATTCACTCTTGTGTTGATGATATCCTCATAATGCACCCAGAGTCTGCCAGTGTAGACTACTTATGACATGCCTCTGTATGACTAACCATCCTGTGTGATGGGGATTTTTTAGCATCACGTAGCTAGCTTTTTGACACACTCTGTACTCCCCTTCATATAGTCTTGGGCAGCTGCACTAATGCAGATGTTCCTAATGTGTTAATAATAAAAAAAGCCATAGCACGTTGAGAACACCGCTTTTCGTCCGTAATAATAAATTTTCTAAGAGAGTGGGAAGGTGCATAAGAAATTTGGTGAGAGCGGGAGTAGGGGAAGAGTGTGAGAGAGAAGATGGAAAGGGAAGAAGAGAGTGGACATGGGAATGTTTGGGAAGAAAGGTGGACATGAGGAGAGGTGAGAGAAAGAAAGGGGAATAACATTGGGAGAGAGAGGGGGGCCCACATTGGGAGAGAGAGAGGGGACCACATTGAGAGAGGGGGTTGGGGAGACAATGGGGGAGAGGGGCTGGAGAAATATTCCGTCTAGTCTCTTGATAAATAATAAATCCCAGGAGTCTGGGACCTGGGGGCTGAGTGCAGATGGTGTCAATTTCTCTTTCCCCAGTTGTGTGTGCTGGTGTTAATCACAGTTATAATGTGCGTGTGAGATATAAGGAGTGTTGCGTGTTGCAGGCAACGAGGAGACGGTTGGGCAGGTGGCGGCCAGCGGGGGTGAGTGTTACGCCTACACCGTCGACCTGTGTGACCGCAAAGCCATCTACGCTGTCGCTGCCAAGGTCAAGAGGGACGTCGGCAAGGTATTTCCAGCCTCCTATCTACATCTACCTCCCTCACTCAACACTCATCTTCATCTACCTCCCTCACTCAACACTCATCTTCATCTACCTCCCTCACTCAACACTCATCTTCATCTTCCTCCCTCACTCAACACTCATCTTCATCTACCTCCCTCACTCAACACTCATCTACATCTACCTCCCTCACTCAACACTCATCTACATCTACCTCCCTCACTCAACACTCATCTACATCTACCTCCCTCACTCAACACTCATCTTCATCTACCTCCCTCACTCAACACTCATCTACATCTACCTCCCTCACTCCACACTCATCTACATCTACCTCCCTCACTCCACACTCATCTACATCTACCTCCCTCATTCCACACTCATCTACATGTTTATACCCTTATACTCACATCTCATAGTCAACATATGTTGCACTTAGCAACATGTTATGTAGCCTGGCAGGCGGGTCCTCGGGGTTACTGGTGTAGTGTTGCAACCTGTTCTCACACTTCCTTATAGTCAATATCTTGCTTATGAATAAGTGCATATGTGACATACTAATTTGTTGTGAATATTTGAGTTTACCTTGAAAAGCAGAATAGAAAACCACAACCTAACCTAACCTTCTTAGTATGTTAAGATATTACAATTAGTACTGAACCTATACTTATATTGATATTACAGTTTTATAAAAATAATAAAACAAAACTAAAATATTTAAATAAATTGTAAACAAAGATGAAGTTAAAAAGTTGAAGTTACAAAGAAAAGGTTAGTGGCTTGAAAAAAAATATGGCTTCGAATATGTCACATATATACTAAGTGAAATAGTGACTATAAGCAATAAGTCATATATGTGCTGTCTTGTGCGAGAGCAGGTTGCGTGTATACTGGTGGTGTCAGTAACTTTGTTAGGTTCATGGAGGCGTCAGCGCGGTCACCCAGCCAGTGTTCGCCTTAACCTGACACACACGTTAATGCTGCTACTCTTGTTACTCAAGTTATATATATATATATATATATATATATATATATATATATATATATATATATATATATATATATATACCTAGTAGCCAGAACGCACTTCTCGGCCTACTATGCAAGGCCCGATTTGCCTAATAAGCCAAGTTTTTCTGAATTAATATATTTTCTCAAATTTTTTTCTTATGAAATGATAAAACTACCCATTTCATTATGTATGAGGTCAATTTTTTTTTATTGGAGATAAAATTAACGTAGATATATGACCGAACCTAACCAACCCTACCTAACCTAACCTAACCTATCTTTATAGGTTAGGTTAGGTTAGGTAGCCGAAAAAGTTAGGTTAGGTTAGGTTAGGTAGGTTAGGTAGTCGAAAAACAATTAATTCATGAAAACTTGGCTTATTAGGCAAATCGGGCCTTGCATAGTAGGCAGAGAAGTGCGTTCTGGCTACTAGGTACGACATATATATATATATATATATATATATATATATATATATATATATATATATATATATATATATATATAAATAATCTGAGCAGTATTATGTGTTATCATATCGTCTTCAACGCAAGCAGAGCTAACTGCCATTGTGGCGTTAAGTTTCCTTGAACGAAACGAAATTCGTTTACCATTAGTGAACGAAACACTAATGGTGCAGTGATCTGCGCTGATCCACAAGCAACTCACTCACTAATCTATCTCTATCTGACATACGGTATCTGTGTATGGGGTTCAACCACTGAAAATTACAAGCCCATCATCACTCACCAAAAATCTATTATCAGAACTGTCTTCAGACAACACACAGGCCCTCTGTTTAAGTCCCTTAACATGCTAAACATACACTCAATCCACACATTCTCATGTGCTATCTACATGTACAAAACCTTGATCCTAAATGCTAATGTTGATCTGAAACTTTTCCTTGATAAATGTATAGAACCCATGAGCATCACACCAGAAATAAATATATCTCTGATATCCCCAAGTCAGACTAAAGCTATGAAAACACTCCATGCAAATAAAAGGAACCAGTCTTTGGAACTCACTCCATGATGAATTAAAAAATTGTCCAACCTTTGCCCTGTTGAAAAGTAAAAGCAAAAAGTAGCTAATTTCATCCTGATAGTTTCCTACCTTGTGCTTCAAACTCACAGTGTATCTTGTAGTGCCCACTTCCCCAATATTAGTACTTAAGACACACATCATTACCAGTGTAATCACCTCTGTTACTTTATGTTGTAGTTATCTGTTGATATAAAACCTTGCTACAATGTTCCCTTTCATCTTACCTGATGTGTTAGATTAAGGACCTGCCCGTAACGCTATGTGTGTTACTGACTTTACATGAATGTTAAAACACCAATCTTATGTAATCTCACCGACCCATTGTGCCTTCAGGTGAATATATTATTATTATTATTATTATTATTATTATTATTATTATTATTATTATTATGTAGTTGAGAGTATAAGCGTAAGGTGTGTGAAGGGTCTAAGAGAGGAGTGTTGCCAACACAGGTGGACATCCTGGTCAACAACGCCGGCATCGTCACCGGCAAGAACTTCCAGGAGGCGCCAGACGAACTCATCCAGAAGACCTTCGATGTCAACATTATGAGTCACTTCTGGGTGAGTACTGGTCTGCCAGCACCCATGGTGGGTGAGTACTGGTCTGCCAGCACCCATGGTGGGTGAGTACTGGCCTCCCAGCACCCATGGTGGGTGAGTACTAGTCTCCCAGCTCTCACAGTAAGTGGGTCTTCTGACTTTTTCATCTTATTTTCTGCTCAAAAATGTTTCCTAATCACCTTCACGCCAACTAATGTAACTTTAAATTAAACTTTGTCGTCTCTCATAACATCAATGGGGACATGACTTATCACCACTTTCTTCAAGATTTCTTCCTAAATAATCCATCTTAACTTATTTTTTACCTTACATACAATCATATCATTTTATCTCTCAAGCACCAACTCTCATAACTCATATAATCATTAACCTCATTTTTTGTGTTTGTAATCATGGCGTAACAAGTAACCCATGCCCTCAAGCAGTAGGTATTAGTTATCTCAGCCACGATATGCCCAACCACTTGGGCTGGACGGTAGAGCGACGGTCTCGCTTCATGCAGGTCGGTGTTCAATCCCCGACCGTCCTAGTGGTTGGGCACTATTCCGTCCCTCCCGTCCCATCCCAAATCCTTATTTTGATTCCTTCCAAGTGCTATATAGTTTTAATGGCTTGGCGCTTTCCCCTGATGTTTCCCTGAGCCACGATATAGCAACATCTTACATCACTCAGTGGAGACCTGCTATCAGTTGACGTCTGATTCTTTATTATCGTTATCTGGTGCACTCGTTCTCTTCATCGTTAATTACCAGCAATCTAACCTCTAGTATGTGTAACAGCACCAGGCTGTTGCCGACCTGTAGAGGAGATGGGTGTCTTCCATTCAGTGTTTACTGATGATGATGATGTAGAGATTATAAGGATAAATACCATGGAAGACTGCGAGGAACTACTGTGTGACCTGGACACAATGATATTATTATGACTACTACAACGTCCAGTAGCATCATGTTTGATGACTCGTGCTCATCAGGTGGGGAGGTGTAAACGCTCAGTAGCATCATGTTTGATGACTTGTGCTCATCAGGTGGGAGGTGTAAACGCTCAGTAGCATCATGTTTGATGACTTGTGCTCATCAGGTGGTATCGTAGGCCAATCAGGGTTGGCCCTAGTGCCACCTTTAACAAATATGATCACTTGTCCAACCCCGATGATTTTCTTGAAGTCTGACATTGAGGATGTGTTTTATGTAGTTTCTTTGCAGTTTTTCAGTGTCTTGCAACATTACATTTTCTGAAAAAGGGAAGGAGAGTGGAGAAGAGGGGAGGGAGAGAGAGAGGAGAGGAGAGGTGGAGAATAGTAGAGAGGGTGGGAGACTGAGAGAGTGGAGAGTGAGTGAGTGTTTAAAGGGGGGTTAAGAGGGTGGGGGAGGAAGAAAGGTGGAAATAGTGGGAGATAGAGGAGAGGAGAGGGTGGATAGTGGAAGCGAAGGGAAGAAAGAGAGAGAGAGAGAGTGGATAGTGGAAGAGAGGGGAAGAAAGAGAGGGAGGGGAAGCAGGAGGAGAGAGACCTGGGGACAGGCAGGCACCCTCATCTTCTATCATATAATCCATGTAACATATACTGTATTTAAATATTATTGTATATATTTACATTAGACATTTGGTTTTTCAAACATATATTTCCAAGGAAACTTTATTTTGTTTTTGCTTGATTATTTAATATTTCTGTATGTGTTAATAAGTGTTTTAATAGTACTGTATGTTAAGGTTATATATAATGTGTGTGTAGGTTTTTATTTTTGCTGATTCATAATATTGTTGTGTACATCATAAGGCAGACTAGTTCCTTCAACCCCCTATTGTAGTTTGTATATCTGTATTAGTTATCTTCCTGATAGGTAAATTGGTTAATATTTTAAGTATGCTCTACTGTATTTATTATTCAACAAAATAAAGGGGCGAGAGTGTTTTATTTGTTGCCGTTGCTACCCGGCACAGATCAAACAACTACTTAATGCTTTTGTAATACTCTACTGTTTATTACTTCTTTAATTCCAATTTTAGCCTCAGTCGTTCATTCTTAATAATAACTGGGTATTCGTGAATCTTTTAACACATTATTCACACTGTAATATAATGTCCCATTACTGATAACACGTTGATATGGGGTAGTATGTTAATTATCGTATTTATTGCAGACAACTAAAGCATTTCTTGGAGACATGCTGGCCTCAAACAAGGGTCATATTGTGACTATTGCCTCTGTGGCTGGTCTTGCTGGTGTTAATAAACTGGCCGACTACTGTGCCTCTAAGTTTGCTGCTGTTGGCTTTGATGAGAGTCTTCGTCTTGAGCTGATGGTAAGTCATTAGATGTTAATGGGCTGTAACGTATGTTTACGTCTATGTGCAGTATTGGGTTAATTAATCACAAAGAGTTTAGTGGCTTTTATATATATTTAGTATAGTTGACCACACAACACACTAGAAGTTGAAGGGACGACGACGTTTCGGTCCGTCCTGGACCATTCTCAAATCGACTTGAGAATGGTCCAGGACGGACCGAAACGTCGTCGTCCCTTCAACTTCTAGTGTGTGGTCTGGTCAACATACTTCAGCCACGTTATTGTGACTCATCGCCTGCATATTTAATATAGTCTTGGTTATAGCAGTTGGTTGTTGGCAGTGTAGTGAAGTGTTGTAGTGGTTGTGATGAAGCCTGGAGCAGGGCAGAGAGCCGAGTGAGGCCGGGGGTGGAGAGCTCGGGTGCTGGATGACAGCGTAGAGCCTGGCGTCTTGAGAGAGGAGGAACCGAACTCGTAAAGTGTTACATTGTTGCTGGTGAATGTTCAAGATATGTGCGGGTGTCTCTCAAGCATTTGTACTGAGTGACTATACCAGTTTAAACTGAGTGCATACTGTTCCTGTTTGTTGTTTTACATTCAGCTACTCGGAACAAAAAGTTCCAAGAAGCACGAGCTATGGTGAGCCCGTAAGACTGCCCATTGATGAAACTAAGCCACCCAAGAGGAGACACGGACATGAATAGCTGTTGTTGTTGTTGTTGTTATAGATTAAGCTACTAGGAACAAGTTCCAAGTAGCACGGGCTATGGTGAGCCCGTAACTTACCTAGCACAGGAGCGGGGCAAGTAGCACGGGCTGTGGTGAGCCCGTAGTGGACTTACCTGGCACAGGAGAGGTGCCTTTCCATGAATAGCTCGTAAGACTGCTAGTGTGCTGTCGAAGCTTGTATTACAAGCTTCCACCTGATTGATCCTGTACCCTTGGGTGCACTTGGGAATTGTAATTAGTGGATTAGAGTAGGGCTTCTAGGAATATAGAACACTTTAGAGATAGGTTATGTATAAATAAGAGACCCATCTCATTATCGGCACATAAACCAAAAAGGATATGGATCAAGTATATTAAACTTGCTACAGGGCAAGTAGAAATTTTTATGAAATAAAAAAAAAATAATGCATTGATTTTCTGATGATGACTTAATAATGCCTTTTTTGCATTACCTATAACAGTTAAAGCACGAGTAGGGTACATCACAAAACAAAGCTTTCTATTTACTCAGGCAGTGCTGCTCCCTGGTACGGTGGTACGGTCCGTCTAATTACCACAAGCTACCACAAGCTACACAAGCTTCACAAAGCTTCCTGGCAATACGTTAGTAATGAATAAATATGATATATTTACTCATTATAATGTAGGTGCTGAATGTACAACACGAAAAAACATAATTTTAATCTGAAAAAGTATCTTTTTATAAAGAAATTAGACGAAAATAAAGAGCTGGTGACGCCAAATCAAGTCGACGATCCAAGCGTTGGTTAGGTTTGGTTAGGTTAGGTTAAGTCAACCTAATCTAACATATCATATTTATTCATTACTAACGTATTGCCAGGAAGCTTTGTGAAGCTTGTGTAGCTTGTGGTAATTAGACGGACCCGTTCCGAGTAGCTGCATCTTAAACAACAACAAAGAATCATCACCACCACTTATATACACACTCATACCTGAACCACCTCTTGGGTGGCTTAATCCTAATTGTTCCCCGGAATACGACCCGCCAAATAGTTTATCAACCAGGTACCCATTCACTATTGGGTGAACAGAGGCTACAGTTTAGGATTGGCGCCCAGTCAATCCTCCTGGGCCAGGATACCCAGGCCAAAGCGCTCGCGAAGTGCCAGGAGAGTTCTTAACCACTGCGCCACAGAGACTTAATTCTTGACTTCATTAGCATTAGGGTTCCATGTGTTAGATACGTTCATTTTCGTGAATTGTTTGCATACATTTAATTGGATCCAGGGAATGTAAATGATACTTATTTCTTGTGTGATATTCATGGGATTTATTTCATCAATTTAGGAAGTTTCCATTTAGTGTTTGTATTGAAGTGCAGTACAGTATACAGTATGACTTTGACAGTGTAACAAGCACAAGAGAATTATGCATTAAAAATATATCTGTACATAATGATTGTTTGTTTTTGTAAGAAGTTATTGAAGTGCATTTTTAATTTGATACAACTTATGGATCACAGGTGGAAGGCTACACTGGGGTCAAGACCACTGTTATTTGTCCGTACTACATCAGCACGGGAATGTTTGAAGGAGTTAAGTCGAAGTAAGTGTTAATTTCTTGTTAATATTGGTGTAATATTATGAAGATGTTGCATTTATGTACAGTTCAGTAAGACATCATTAAAACAAAACTAGTTTTAATGAATTACCACCTAGTCCACACACATTCTAGTCCATTGAGAATGTCCTCTGCCTCACACTGTCCAGTGGCTTGCCAAAGGTCCCCCTCATTAATTCTGGGAACATTTTCTAATTAAATTTTGAGCTTTTATATTTTCTTGGCATTTACAACTTTGGTTGATAGGTAACTTCTTAGGTGATTACCCTATATGGGAAAAAACATCTCCAGTTTTCTGAAGTACATTTTGGCAAGTTGAGATTGAAGCTGTTGCCTCTTATTTGAGTTACATTACAGTATATATTTGGATTAATATCTTTCAAATTTTTCATTGCTTTATAGATCTCGATGTGATGGGCTCATATTATGTTTGGTTTGTATGAGAAATGACTTAGCCAATAAGATTTCAACTGAGCTTCAACAGAGTAGAAGAAGTTGTTAAACACATGAGGCATAATCTTACTGAAGCGAACATACGAGTTACAGTCTCCGTGGTGTAGTGGTAAGACACTCACCTGGCGTTCCGCGAGCGCTACGTCATGGGTTCGTATCCTGGCCGGGGAGGATTTACTGGGCGCAATTCCTTAACTGTAGCCTCTGTTTAACGCAACAGTAAAATGTGTACTTGGATGAAAAAACGATTCTTCGCGGCAGGGGATCGTATTCCAGGGACCTGCCCGAAACGCTACGCGTACTAGTGGCTGTACAAGAATGTAACAACTCTTGTATATATCTCAAAAAAATAAATACTCATACTCCGCCTAAGTAAAACTGAAACAAGTAACACTTAGTGGGCCAGCCATGGGCTTAAGACCTGCACAGGAATATTACTGGAAGAAAACAAAACAAAAATGTCTGGGATGATTTTTCTCGTTTTGCATTTAACTTTTTCAAAAGCAGATATTGAAGATGAGGGATTCTTGTTTAGAAAAAGTAGTCCAAATGGCAGCACACCAGAGAGTTATACAGCTTAGTGACCACTTTCTTTTCCTTACAGTCAAAGGTTCATATAATTATTCCTAAGGTTTGGTTGACATTTTTAGCTGCAAGGCCTGCTTGTTGATCAGTTTTTCTTCCTCACTCTACTGCTTGGTCATGTTCTTGATATGGTAGTTATAATGTGCATTGTTCTATTCTTCATGCAAGATCTGGCATTTTTCAGTACTGAACAGCAATGGCCAGTCAGTCTTCTCACATATGTAGAGTTCATGTTGATTACTTGGCAAAACTCACAACATATTTCCAGTCAGATTCATTTTAAGTTACGATGACCTTTTGCTTTTTTGCTTTATCCATGCTTGTATTTTGCCTATTCCATGTGCTTGCAATTTCTGTGCCAGTTTTTCTTGTGGTATCTTATCAGAAACTTTCTAAAGACGTTCATGTACACTACATCTAATGAAAGTCTTGTCCAAATAGCTGGTTACCATCACCAATTTTATATTGGGAAGTCATTATCTTTTCAGTTTGGTGGTTGTTTATAGGCACTGATCCACAGAGTTTCCCACAGTGGTTTTGACATTACAGTATGTGGTTCATACAGAGACCTACAGAGACCTCTGTAGGTCTCTGGGATTCTTGTCCTCGCCTTTTGCTGGAAGGAGTGTTTCCCTAGATATTTACCTAAGTGCAGTTACAGGATGAGTGCTAGCCTCGTGGTGTCCCATCTTTGTAGCACTCTGTCATACGCTACTTTGAAACTACTGATGGATTTGGTATCCACCACATTTTCACTTAACTTGTTCCAAGTGTGCACACTGGTTCCTGAGATATGTGCCTGCTGGTTTCCAGCTGTGTTGCTGTTGAATCTTGGACTAAGTGTCTGCTGATTTTGCAGGCTGTGGGGTGCCCAGTGGTTCTCTGCAGGCTGTGGGGTGCCCAGTGGTTCTCTGCAGGCTGTGGGGTGCCCAGTGGTTCTCTGCAGGCTGTGGGGTGCCCAGTGGTTCTCTGCAAGCTGTGGGGTACCCACTGGTTCTCTGCGGGCTGTGGGGTGCCCACTGGTTCTCTGTGGGCTGTGGGGTGCCCACTGGTTCTCTGCGGGCTGTGGGGTGCCCACTGGTTCTCTGCAGGCTGTGGGGTGCCCACTGGTTCTCTGCGGGCTGTGGGGTGCCCACTGGTTCTCTGCGGGCTGTGGGGTGCCCACTGGTTCTCTGCGGGCTGTGGGGTGCCCACTGGTTCTCTGCGGGCTGTGGGGTGCCCACTGGTTCTCTGCGGGCTGTGGGGTGCCCACTGGTTCTCTGTGGGCTGTGGGGTGCCCACTGGTTCTCTGCAGGCTGTGGGGTGCCCACTGGTTCTCTGCGGGCTGTGGGGTGCCCAGTGGTTCTCTGCAGGCTGTGGGATGCCCACTGGTTCTCTGCAGGCTGTGGGATGCCCACTGGTTCTCTGCAGGCTGTGGGGTGCCCAGTGGTTCTCTGCAGGCTGTGGGATGCCCACTGGTTCTCTGCAGGCTGTGGGGTGCCCACTGGTTCTCTGCAGGCTGTGGGGTGCCCACTGGTTCTCTGCAGGCTGTGGGATGCCCACTGGTTCTCTGCAGGCTGTGGGGTGCCCACTGGTTCTCTGCAGGCTGTGGGATGCCCACTGGTTCTCTGCAGGCTGTGGGGTGCCCACTGGTTCTCTGCAGGCTGTGGGATGCCCACTGGTTCTCTGCAGGCTGTGGGATGCCCACTGGTTCTCTGCAAGCTGTGGGGTGCCCACTGGTTCTCTGCAGGCTGTGGGGTGCCCACTGGTTCTCTGCAGGCTGTGGGGTGCCCACTGGTTCTCTGCGGGCTGTGGGGTGCCCACTGGTTCTCTGCAGGCTGTGGGGTGCCCACTGGTTCTCTGCGGGCTGTGGGGTGCCCACTGGTTCTCTGCAGGCTGTGGGGTGCCCACTGGTTCTCTGCAGGCTGTGGGGTGCCCACTGGTTCTCTGCGGGCTGTGGGGTGCCCACTGGTTCTAAGACTGTGTGCTGTCTAGATCTCAAGGTGTGTACCCAGCAGTTTCCGAGTTGCATGTGACGTGTGGTTCCTCTGCTGTGTGGCGGGCATTTGTCTGGTGGCATTCCAGTGTAGATGTCTAGTGGTTCTTGAGCTGGATGGCTCTCAATTCCTGGGTCATAAATCCATGGGTTCCAATCAGTGTACCAGGAGGTTCCTAAGCTGTGTGCCTGGGGGTTTCAGGATTGGTGCTCACAGGTTACTGGGTTACTGTAGGTCTCTGGTACAGTACCTAGTACTCTCCCTACAGTACCTAGCCCAGTAACCTTTGATTTTTTTATTGTTGCCGCCGGAGGCGGCTAGTTTATTGTGCACCCCATACTCATCCTGATTGTTTTTTGCTCTACCGCTCACAGGATGAGTATGTGGTGCACAATAAACTAGCTGCCTCCGACGGCAACAATAAAAATTCAAAGGTTACTGGGCTTGGTTTCCAAGCTGATAGTTCTTTGGAGGTTACCAGGTCAGGTGACTGGACGTTTCCTGGCCATAGCTTCTGAGGCTGTGTGCTAGTGGTCCTCAAGCTGTGTACCTGAAGGCTCTTGGAATACTGTGGGATCCTCCTGCTTGAGTGCCTGATGGTCCCCAGGCTGAATTTTCCAGGGGTTCTCAAGCTGGGGTGATTTGGTGTTTTTTCCTTGGTTCTGGCCTCTTTTTCCCCCCCCCCCTGGCTCCTGGGTTTTCCTAAACCAATGCCTTTGTGGTTAAGGGCTTGGACTTGGTTAGTTGGCCTTGGCCTTCTGGGTATTTGACACTCTGTGCTTAATCCTTTATCAAGGGTCCTACTGTTTTGCTAGTGTCTCCCATGGGGTCAGCCTTGGTTTTTCTGTCTAGAATGCCATTTTCCTCTGCCGAGGCTCCATTGGTAATAAGCTTGAAGAGCTAGTAAAGGTTCCTTCCTAGAAATCAAGTGTCATATGTAATGAAACTGCATTTTCCGGGGACTTCTCAGTATCTTGCTTTTCTGGCTCTATTCCATTCTTTTCCTTGGGGATTTTGGGTTATTTTCTGGTGGTTTATGAGAGGGGAGTGTGGCTGATCAAGTGGCATGAGCTGCCATTTGGAGGTGATCAGATACATCATAGCAGGTAAGTTTTCTCCATGCCAATGATGGCTTACTTTGATGACCTCAGGGATACTAACATTTTTTGTGTTTTTTGGCTATAGGTAGACCTCTTATTCCCAAGCTTTCCTCTCCTTCTAGAGACACCCAGATTCTGGTCCTGTCTCTGGCAAGTCAGGACTGGTTTCAGAGGCCTAGTGTGATTGCCAATACCATTTCTGAAGGTTAGGAGATAATAGGAGACCCACCTGTAAAAGTCATCTCAGTACCAGTACATTCAAGGCTTAACTTTTCAAGAACTGATCATTATATTTTTCCAAGATCTACATTATTCTAAGTGTCATTATGTATACAATTTTGCTTCAGTATGTACATTATTGCTAAATTAATTTGTTTATACAATCCACAGAGTGATACCAATATTGCAGCCTGAATTTGTGGCCTCTGAGATTGTTGACGGCATCCTCCTGAACAGAGTCATCGTTGTTTTGCCATCCTTCTGCCGGATCCTGATCCTCCTCAAATAGTATGTACACTCCATGCATCTTCTGTACTGTACACCCAACATTACTTGGCTCTCAAGCATATCATATACACTCTACACATTAATGGTTCTCTTCTTCTGCACTATAATAATAATAATAATAATAATAATAATAATAATAATAATAATAATAATAATACATAAGCATCTTCTTGAGGTTTTCTTGAGATGATTTCGGGGCTTAGCGTCCCCGCGGCTCAGTCCTCGACCAGGCCTCCTCTTTGTTACACATCCCCAGGAAGCAGCCCATAGCAATTATCTAACTCCCAGGTACCTATTTACTGCTGGGTGAACAGACGCATCAGGGTGAAAGAAACTCTGCCCATTTGTTTCTGCCTTTGCCGGGGATTGAACCAGGAACTTTAGGACTATGAATCCTGAGCGCTGGCCACTCAGCTGTCAAGCCCCCCCCTATGATCATGTGTCCAAAAAACACATGATAGAGGGACAAGTGTAGGGACCTCGGACACACATAAAATGAAACAACTACTGTACTACATAAAGTATTTTGGGCAACACTTACAGTAATTCAGGTCAAAAATTATTTATAGGTATAATGGGGGGGGGTAAATACTTGATACTAAATGAGAGGTAACGAATAATATGTAAGAAAGTTCAAGAAATATAACAAATATACAATATAAAGGTAATACTTAATGATGGCAGGCAGAGACTATTATATTATGGAGTCAGTAGTTCCAGCAGCAGTACAAAAGTAGCTTTTAGTATAATTAATAACAACAAGGAAATAGAAAGGTGTGTTTTAGTAGAGCGACTACAACATAATATATATTAAATTAGTCACATTAATGGTTCTCCTGCACTCTCCACTTGATGGTTCTCCTACACTCTACACTTGATGGTTCTCCTACCCTCTACACTTGATGGTTCTCCTGCACTCTCCACTTGATGGTTCTCCTACACTCTACACTTGATGGTTCTCCTACACTCTACACTTGATGGTTCTCCTGCACTCTACACTTGATGGTTCTCCTGCACTCTCCACTTGATGGTTCTCCTGCACTCTCCACTTGATGGTTCTCCTACACTCTACACTTGATGGTTCTCCTACCCTCTACACTTGATGGTTCTCCTACACTCTACACTTGATGGTTCTCCTGCACTCTCCACTTGATGGTTCTCCTACACTCTACACTTGATGGTTCTCCTGCACTCTCCACTTGATGGTTCTCCTGCACTTTTCACTTGATGGTTCTCCTGCACTCTACACTTGATGGTTCTCCTGCACTCTACACTTGATGGTTCTCCTGCACTCTACACTTGATGGTTCTCCTACCCTCTACACTTGATGGTTCTCCTACCCTCTACACTTGATGGTTCTCCTACCCTCTACACTTGATGGTTCTCCTGCACTCTCCACTTGATGGTTCTCCTGCACTCTCCACTTGATGGTTCTCCTGCACTCTACACTTGATGGTTCTCCTACACTCTACACTTGATGGTTCTCCTGCACTCTCCACTTGATGGTTCTCCTACACTCTACACTTGATGGTTCTCCTACCCTCTCCACTTGATGGTTCTCCTGCACTCTACACTTGATGGTTCTCCTACACTCTACACTTGATGGTTCTCCTGCACTCTCCACTTGATGGTTCTCCTACACTCTACACTTGATGGTTCTCCTGCACTCTACACTTGATGGTTCTCCTGCACTCTACACTTGATGGTTCTCCTACACTCTACACTTGATGGTTCTCCTGCACTCTACACTTGATGGTTCTCCTACACTCTACACTTGATGGTTCTCCTACACTCTACACTTGATGGTTCTCCTGCACTCTACACTTGATGGTTCTCCTACACTCTACACTTGATGGTTCTCCTACACTCTCCACTTGATGGTTCTCCTGCACTCTACACTTGATGGTTCTCCTGCACTCTCCACTTGATGGTTCTCCTGCACTCTACACTTGATGGTTCTCCTGCACTCTACACTTGATGGTTCTCCTGCACTCTACACTTGATGGTTCTCCTACACTCTCCACTTGATGGTTCTCCTGCACTCTCCACTTGATGGTTCTCCTACACTCTACACTTGATGGTTCTCCTACACTCTACACTTGATGGTTCTCCTGCACTCTACACTTGATGGTTCTCCTACACTCTCCACTTGATGGTTCTCCTACCCTCTACACTTGATGGTTCTCCTACCCTCTACACTTGATGGTTCTCCTACACTCTACACTTGATGGTTCTCCTGCACTCTACACTTGATGGTTCTCCTACACTCTACACTTGATGGTTCTCCTGCACTCTACACTTGATGGTTCTCCTGCACTCTACACTTGATGGTTCTCCTACACTCTACACTTGATGGTTCTCCTACACTCTACACTTGATGGTTCTCCTGCACTCTCCACTTGATGGTTCTCCTACACTCTACACTTGATGGTTCTCCTACCCTCTACACTTGATGGTTCTCCTGCACTCTACACTTGATGGTTCTCCTACACTCTACACTTGATGGTTCTCCTGCACTCTACACTTGATGGTTCTCCTACACTCTACACTTGATGGTTCTCCTACACTCTACACTTGATGGTTCTCCTACACTCTACACTTGATGGTTCTCCTACACTCTACACTTGATGGTTCTCCTACACTCTACACTTGATGGTTCTCCTGCACTCTACACTTGATGGTTCTCCTGCACTCTACACTTGATGGTTCTTCTACACTCTAATTTGAGGGATCTAATACACTGTACTCTAGATGATTCTCCTACAATCTACACTCAATGGTTCTCCTGAACTTTATACTGAATGGTCCTCTGTGCACTTGACACTTAATGGTTCTCCAACACTCTACATTCAATGGTTCTACCCCATCCTTCACTTTGCACTTGATGGTTCTCCTACACTCTACACTCAATGGTTCACCTGTATTCTACACTTGATATAAGCTACAGGCTTCCTTGCAGCCTGCACTCTTTGCCTCCTACACAACTTACAATGTCCCTTTATTGCTCACCATTAGTGGTAAACTGTTGCTCCTTTACCCTCCATTATTGTCAAGGATTTGTTATATTTGAGTGTCCTCACACAAGTACCCCGTCTTCAAATAAATCCCCCTTGTGCAAATCCCATTGAGTAGTCAAGTAGTACATTAATAGTACATTTGTACAGGTAGTACAGATCCCTGAGATTACAGTCAGTAATCCCAAGTAAGTTGGCTAGGGTACCAGTAGTACAGTCAGGTGGGGTCCCAGTAGTACAGTCAGGTAGGGTACCAGTAGTACAGTCAGGTAGGGTACCAGTAGTACAGTCAGGTAGGGTACCAGTAGTACAGTCAGGTGGGATCCCGGTAGTACAGTCAGGTAGGGTACCAGTAGTACAGTCAGGTAGGGTACCAGTAGTACAGTCAGGTGGGATCCCGGTAGTACAGTCAGGTAGGGTACCAGTAGTACAGTCAGGTGGGGTCCCAGTAGTACAGTCAGGTAGGGTACCAGTAGTACAGTCAGGTAGGGTACCAGTAGTACAGTCAGGTAGGGTTCCAGTAGTACAGTCAGGTGGGGTACCAGTAGTACAGTCAGGTGGGATCCCGGTAGTACAGTCATGTAGGGTACCAGTAGTACAGTCAGGTAGGGTACCAGTAGTACAGTCAGGTGGGATCCCGGTAGTACAGTCAGGTAGGGTCCCAGTAGTACAGTCAGGTAGGGTACCAGTAGTACAGTCAGGTGGGATCCCGGTAGTACAGTCAGGTAGGGTACCAGTAGTACAGTCAGGTGGGGTCCCAGTAGTACAGTCAGGTGGGGTCCCAGTAGTACAGTCAGGTAGGGTCCCAGTAGTACAGTCAGGTGGGGTCCCAGTAGTACAGTCAGGTGGGGTCCCAGTAGTACAGTCAGGTAGGGTCCCAGTAGTACAGTCAGGTAGGGTCCCAGTAGTACAGTCAGGTGGGGTCCCAGTAGTACAGTCAGGTAGGGTACCAGTAGTACAGTCAGGTAGGGTACCAGTAGTACAGTCAGGTGGGATCCCGGTAGTACAGTCAGGTAGGGTACCAGTAGTACAGTCAGGTAGGGTACCAGTAGTACAGTCAGGTGGGGTCCCGGTAGTACAGTCAGGTGGGGTCCCAGTAGTACAGTCAGGTAGGGTCCCAGTAGTACAGTCAGGTGGGGTCCCAGTAGTACAGTCAGGTAGGGTCCCGGTAGTACAGTCAGGTGGGGTCCCAGTAGTACAGTCAGGTAGGGTACCAGTAGTACAGTCAGGTGGGGTACCAGTAGTACAGTCAGGTGGGGTCCCAGTAGTACAGTCAGGTAGGGTACCAGTAGTACAGTCAGGTGGGGTACCAGTAGTACAGTCAGGTAGGGTCCCAGTAGTACAGTCAGGTAGGGTCCCAGTAGTACAGTCAGGTGGGGTCCCGGTAGTACAGTCAGGTAGGGTACCAGTAGTACAGTCAGGTGGGGTACCAGTAGTACAGTCAGGTGGGGTCCCAGTAGTACAGTCAGGTAGGGTACCAGTAGTACAGTCAGGTGGGGTCCCAGTAGTACAGTCAGGTAGGGTACCAGTAGTACAGTCAGGTGGGGTACCAGTAGTACAGTCAGGTAGGGTACCAGTAGTACAGTTAGGTGGGATCCCGGTAGTACAGTCAGGTAGGGTACCAGTAGTACAGTCAGGTGGGGTCCCAGTAGTACAGTCAGGTGGGGTATCAGTAGTACAGTCAGGTGGGATCCCGGTAGTACAGTCAGGTAGGGTCCCGGTAGTACAGTCAGGTAGGGTCCCAGTAGTACAGTCAGGTGGGATCCCGGTAGTACAGTCAGGTGGGATCCCGGTAGTACAGTCAGGTAGGGTACTAGTAGTACAGTCAGGTAGGGTACCAGTAGTACAGTCAGGTAGGGTACCAGTAGTACAGTCAGGTGGGGTCCCAGTAGTACAGTCAGGTGGGGTACCAGTAGTACAGTCAGGTGGGGTCCCAGTAGTACAGTCAGGTGGGATCCCGGTAGTACAGTCAGGTAGGGTACCAGT